AACAAAAAAACCACAAAGAAATTAACCATCTAAATACATCTGAAATAAAAGGGCTTTGTAACCACAGAATTATAGATGTAGCAGAGATATTTGACCTTGTTAGTTCAGGTCCCTCTTTTTCAGATGAGGAAGAGAGATTATCTGAAACACATTGTAAAATTTGGTGTTGTAGTTGAAGTCTGTAAATCTACAACCAGAGAAATAGAAATTAGTATCCACCTGTTAACTAAAATGCAGTTTTGAAAAAACAGCTACTGTTTATTGTGTGCCTACTAGTGAGATGTCTGAAGTGGTTGTTGATTGCATATTATAATGACAGAAAACGAGCACATTTCACTTGAAAAAGAATTTTAGAGTGGACGTAGTGACTCGTGCCTGTAATCCCAGTATTTTAGAAGGCTGTGGTGGGCCAATCATCTGAGGTCAGGAGTTTGCAAGTAGCCTGGCCAACATAGTGAAGCACCATCTCTACTAAAAATGCAAAAATTAGCCGGGCCTGGTGGCAGGCGCCTATAATTCCCACTACTCAGGAGGCTGAGACATGAGAATCACTTGAACCCAGGAGGTGGATGGAGGTTGCAATGAGCTTAGATCGCAGCACTGCACTCCAGCCTGGTCCACAGAGTGAAACTCTGTCTCAAAAAAAAATTAAAGTACCGTATGTATATACGGTAAAAAGTCCAAATGGATTTGTGGTGAAAAACAAGCCTTCCTTTCATCCCTGTTCCTTAGCTACTCTGTTCCACTTAAGCATTTGTCCAGAGATACTCTTTGCATTTAAAAACACACATGTATAGTTATTTTTTTTAAAAAAAGATAGCACACTGTATACACTATTCTGTATTTTCTTGAAAATGGTTTCAAATCAATACGTATAGAGACGACTTTTTTTAAAGAGGGGGCACTACGTTTTTACATTCTACAGAATATATATTTATTTGTTATACTTTAAGGATACCTTTGCTGGGTGTAAAATTGGGGGACATTTCCTTTTTTTAGTACTTACACCATATTGCTGTGTGGTCTTCTGTATCTGTGTTGCTTTTGAGAAATTAGGCTGACCTGAGTTTTTTTCCTTTCGTATACATGATTTCTTATTTATTTATTTATTTATTTTTTTGAGATGGAGTCTCGCTCTATTGTGCAGGCGGAAGTGCAGTGGCGTGATCTCAGCTCACTGCAACCTCTGCCTCCCAGGTTCAATCAATTCTTCTGCCTCAGCCTCCCGAGTAGCTGGGACTACAGGTGTGTACCACCACACCCGGCTAATTTTTGTATTTTTAGTTGAGACGGGGTTTCACCACGTTGGTCAGACTGGTCTCAAACTCATGACCTCATGATCTGCCCCCCCTCGGCCTCCCAAAGTGCTGTGATTACAGGCATGAGCCACTGCGCCTGGCCCATGAGTTTTTTATTTCTAACTTAATACCTCCACACTTTCTTTTCAGTCTTTTTCTTTTCCTTTTCCTTTTTCTCTTCTCTTCTCTTTTCTTCCTTTTTTCTTTTTTTTTTTAGTCAGCATTTTGCTCTGTCGTCCAGCCTGGAGTGCAGTGGCAAAATCATGGTTCAGTGTAGCTTGGAAGGCTTGGGCTCAAGCAATCTCCCCCTGCCTCAGACTCCTGAGTAGCTGGGAGTACAGGCACTGGCCATCATGCCTGGCTAATTAAAAACATTTTTTTTTGTAGACTGGGTCTCACTTTATTGCCCAGGCTCGTTTCAAACTCCAGGCTTCAAGCAGTGCTCCTGCCTGGGCCTTCCAAAGTGCTGGGCTTACAAGCGTGAGCCACCATGCCTGGCCATGATTCTTTCTTTAGCCTTAAAGTTGTATAAACATAATCAATCCACAAATTCCAGGTTTTATTTATTTTGACAGGTTTTATCCTATTATATATCTTTGAATGTACATTTGTTCTTTTTGCTTTGTGAGCCTCTTTGGAGAGTTACATATTCTTTCTACCCCGCTTCCTCCTCTATATCTGTTGTCTTCTCAGTAAATTGGTTTTATATTGTTAGTCTTATCTGTTTCATTTTATATGATTTCTCCCGTCCTTATCTTTCTTTTTAGTCACGTTTATTCTATTTTTGGTTGCTTCTTAATGTGGCTTTTATCTCAATAATGTTATTTTTCTCTCCATTTTTTTCTGAGTTCTATCAGCTTGACTTTCATTTCCTTCTGTTGTTGTATAATCTCGTCTTTGAACCTTTGTTTTTCTTCTTTGAGCTCTTTTTTTTTTTTAAGAGGGGTCACATTTCCTATGGTTGCCTTTGAGACTTTGGAGAACTATTTATCTGAACTCTTCCTGTGTTTCTTTGAGTAGTTCTTGTGTTATATGCTGCTAATTTACCTCTTTCTGAGTTTTTTTTTTTTTTTTTTTTTTCCAAATTGTACGCAGACATCCAGTATTGGTTGTTTTCTGAGTGTTGTTTATGTTGAAATAGGGCGGGAGGATGGGTGCAGCAGGCTACAGCCTTTTTTTTTTTTTTTTGACTTATTACTTAGTCATTTCTCACCAAATCTGTTGTTGAGTTTGAAAGGGTAGGCTGGTTCTTCATGTCAGAGTCTATCACGAAATGCTACCTCCACTCTACATCTGCCCCTTCTATCACCCTTGCCTGAAGAGTTGCGTGTGCACAGTGGATCTGGCATAGTAACAAGGATTCTTTGGTTCAGCCAGCCCACCTTTCTCTGGTATTAACCCGTGGTTCAAAGAGACATTCTCTACTTCTCCTATGGCCTATACTTCCATCTGGATTCCCCGCTTGGATGCAAGCATCACTAGAATCACTGTACCTCTTATTCAGAATTATGTATCTGTGTATCGCTGGAAGCCTGAGAAGGCCTGTGATGGCCTTCCGCACATTCCCTTTCGCCACTTAGTACTGGCAGATAGGTTTCAGCTTATGATTTGGAGTCATGATGGCTTCCTTGTTTCAGTTGTGTAGTGAAGTTGCAAATTTCTACTCATGACTCATTATGTAGATGACAAAATGTACTGTATTTTCTATTACCTATCGTCTTCGTCAGAGGCCCTCTACCTTTAGTAGTGGATGGTGGGAAGAAAAATATGGGAGTAAACAGGATCCTGGCCTCTGTTGGTTTAAACAGTCTCTTTGGGGTAATGTGTTTCAGTTTTCTTCTATCCCCAGCTTCCACTGAGGTGAGGTCTGGGAGCAGTGAGGGGGGCCTTTGGGAATGATGGTCAGATCTGCCTCGCGGTGCTAGCGTGGGGAGAACGTAGACTCACATGCAGTCCCCCTAAGGCTTTGCTACGAGGGCCTGGGTTGGTAACCACTGAGTAATGACTCTCTCTGTTTAGGCTCTGAAAGCCTTGAGGAGGCTTCTGCTGTCCTTAGATCTACTACGGTCGGCCCTCTGTATCCATGGGCTCCGCCTCTGTGGCTCCGACCAACTGCAGATATTTGGGGTGGGGGGGCGGGGAGGGAAAGATTTGGATCTGTACTGAATAGTACAGCCTTTTTTTCCCCGCCTTTATTCCCTAAACAATAGAGTATAACAACGATTTAGATAGCATTTACATTGTATTAGGTATTATAATTCAAAGATATTATAGGTAATCTAGAGATGATTCAAAGTATATGGAAGAATGTGCATGGGTTAGATGCAAATACTACCCCATTTTCTATCAGGGACTTGAACATCCCCGGATTTTGGTATCTGCAGGGCGGGGCGGGAGTAGTGCTCCTGGAACCCGTCTCCCATGGATTCCAAGGATCAGCTGTATTTGCCTGCAATCGTGGTGTTCCCCATATGTGTGGTCTTCATCCTGACCCAGGTCTTCACTGGTGAGGGCTTCTGGATTCCTATCATGATGTACTTGGGTTATTTGCCCAGCCCCTCCCTCCAGCCATGCTGTGCTGTTGCTGCCACGCCATATTCAGAATGCCACAAAACTGAGCCCTGGGCTTCACTGCAAGCCTGCAGCCTCCCTTACACTGTGTCCCAGAAGCAGACCTCTCACCTGGATATTTTTAGGGCACCTGATACATGTCAGAATGTTTTCAGCAATCTTTGTCCACTGCCACTCCCGACCTGTCCCCAACGGTCCAGCAGAAGGGGAAATAGGTCTCTGATAATCTGATTTTAATGGGTATCTTTTAAGAGAAATAAGTGATAGTGGGGGAATTGTTAGGGATCATATATCATGGTTCTGCTGCAGGTTTATTTGGAAACTTGAGCAAGCTTAAGTATCCCCTTGTTAGGTTGTCTACCATATAATAATGTCATCTGTAAGCCTCTCATATTAAAGAGTTAGGGAATAAGCATCAGTGAGTGAAAGAAAGAAAACCATGGTACTTTCATTTTAAATTAGCTATGATTTTTAAATTTCCATTACTTGTATATTTATTTGGAAATTATTTTTTTTCTTTTACGAGTATCCCTGTTTTGAAAGATTATGGGTCTTTTTTTGCATATTCATGAAAGATGACTGGATGAAGTCAGTCATTTATGATTGACAGAAATATGACAGAACTTTGCAAAGTTTGAATGGACTTTTGATACTCAACACCAAAGAATTTTGTCTAATTAAAGCTTCTGTTTAATTAAGATAACAATGCATAGTCCTTCATTAAAATTAACAGAGAAAAAGTTCTTCCTTGGTCCTTGGAGAGGATATTATATGCAAGCCCTGTTGTGTGGGTTGCAAGATGTCACTGGAATTTATATGCATTACTTGTCTAATTGCAGTAAATGTAGCATGTCCAGATAGGTTTCGCGTTAGAAGGCTGTTTGTTACTTGCGGAAATCACTTGAAGCCTCAGTACCCAGAGGCAGCTGTTCACAGGTCCTTCACCTCTCCCCAGAGATGACTGGGAAGACGCTGTTGTTGGACCCTGTCTTTCATGGCTGGAGCAGTAAACATGACAGGTTGTTTGGGAGCCATCTGTTTAAAATGGCTGCTGCTTTGTATGCAGCAATGAACTTGAGATCAGTTTTCTGTCTTTCTTCATGGTAATGGTCTTATTTGGTGTCACAACAGGTGGAAGTTGATGGGTCGAAACTAAATGTGACCAGCACGTGGAACCTGGCTTTGCCCTTATTGTCCGTCAGCGTTGATGGCACTCAGAGGACTGTCCAGGTGAGTGTTGTAAGGATTTCCTTAGAAGGCCTCCTCAAGTCCAGAATCCTTGTCAGCACCTGTGTGGCTAATACTTACAGCTACAGGAGGGAAAAGCTGTATTTTATTCACCTTATGCTTTTTATAGTCGAAAACTTTTTCTTTTCTTATCTCAGAGGATCTTAAGTGTGAACCTGAGCAATTAATGTTTTCTTTTTTCAGACAGTCCAAAAAGCTTCATGTATTGTACTTTGTTGTAAACAAGGAATTCTGCATGCTTTTCTAAAAATACTCGATTAGCTGTTTTTTTCCCCCCTCTGTGGGTTTTTAGTTGTAAAATACAACTTACTTTGTTACCTTTCTTTTCTGTGCAGTTGAAATTACTTAGTGTTAGGCTAGCAAAACACATGTTATTCAGGTTGACCTTCCACGGCTCACTGATGTCCTTTAAAAATTTAGTAATCTTAACTTATTAATCTTTCTTTTCACCTCAATATAAAATGTCCTGCCTTGAGGAGATGCCTTGGAACCCAGAGTCGATAGAATGTTTTTTGTAACCTGTGACTTCCATTTTAAAGTAGAAAAGTTATGAAAAGAGATTCTGCCAAAATCCTTCACCTTGCCTCCTATTTGAGGTTTAGTGTTTTAGAAAAACAAAGAAACAAAAAATCATGGAACATGTGGCTATCACAGGCTAATAAAAATCTAGTCCCACCCATAGCATTAAATGCTCATTATTTGTTCTTTTTTATGAAAATGATCTTAACTTGATTTTATACAGGAAACTGGTTTTAAAAACCTTGAGAAATCAGGATAATCATAGATAAGACTACTTACTCCAGACCTGATTCTTATCTACCTCTAGGAGAGACTGGGGCAGAGGATTTCAGAATCCACAAAAAATATATGATGACTCAACTGATTTCTAAGTCAGTTTCAATTGATGTATATTATCTCTATGGTTCCAAGTAACCTTGAACTCTTGGTAATGAGCCCTATATTTTAACTTTGGTTTTGTGACTTGTCCCCATATATTTTTTCTCATTTTTTAAATTTTCTAACTCCTGTCTTTTCTCATATTTTATAACTTATATTATATAACTTTATATAATATTATATCAGAATAAATTATGAGGTGAACCCTTGAAAAAAATGTCACTACATAATTTCCCATTACCGAGATCCATGTATTATTGTGTCTTTAAAAACTGTGGTGCGTGGGTGCGTTGGCTCACGCCTGTAATCCCAGCACTTTGGGAGGCCAAGGCAGGCGGATCACCTGAGGTCAAGAGTTCCAGACTAGCCTGGCCAACATGGTGAAACCCCGTCTCCACTAAAAATATAAACATTAGCCAGATGTGGTGGCAGGCATCTGTATTCCCAGCTCCTCGGGAGGCTAGGGCAGGAGAATTGCTGGAACCTGGGAGGTGGAGGTTACGATGAGCCAGGATTACGCCATTGCACTGCAGCCTGGGCAACAGAACAAGACTCTGTCTTAAAAATAAAAACAAAAACAAATAAACAACAACAACAAAACTGGTTTTGTTATACTGGTTTATGTTCGATAGACTCTATAGTGCATTGAATGTGTTATGGCTCAGGTATTTGTCAGAGGGACATAGTGTTAACTCTCAGTAGTCAGAAGAAAGAGGTGCAAACTCCTGTTATGCAGATTTTTTTCTATTGTGATACTTTCATCATCCTTTTCAGTGACTGTGCAGATAGTTGCCTTGGTGGCACTTTTACATGTAGAATTTATAGCTAGATTAATATGGATATATATGTAGAATAATCAAAAATATTTTCCCTAGTGTAGGGATCATGTTCGGTAAATCCCTTTTTAATCTTGTACGTACTTTGCTACAAAAAGAATTAATGTGTCTGAAATAAGTGACCCCTTAAAGGCAGATCCTTTGACTCTTAGGAAGAGGTCATTGCATCAAGTTAAGTACTCTCTAATTGAAAGGAAATAAACTCAGAGAGGTAAATGGTGTACTAGGAAAAAAATCATTTACCTAAAAAAAAAAAAAAAAAGGTAAGGAGAGTTTTTCCTTATGAAAGGGGGTAGATTTTATTTACTTTCTGTAGGCATTAGCATTGTGTTGACTCTTTCCAAAAATGTAACGTGGCCTCTGTGAAAATAATAACAATTATAGTAATAATAAATAACACACAGTGCTTACTGTGTATCAGGTGTAGTTTTAAGCATAGTACAGATATGAACTTCTTTGATCCTCACAATTGTATGAAGTAGGTGCTATTTATAATTTTATAAATGAGACAACTGAGGCTCAGAGAAAGTAAGTGACTTACTGAAGGTCACCAGCTAATAAGAGGTAAAGCCATGATTTTTTTTTCTTTTTTTTTTTTTTTTAAACGAGACAGGATCTCGCTCTGTCACCCAGGCTGGAGTGCAGTGGCACAATCTGGGCTCACGGCAGCTTTGACCTCCCAGGCGACGCCCCCCCAACCCCCCACCTCAGCCTAGAGCCGTGATTTAAATCTGAGCAGTCTTGCTGTAGTAGGATCCTTGCTATCAAGCATTGCAAGATGCTGAGGCCAGCTGTGTAACTTCCTGGGCATCACAAAGCTAGGAAGAAGCAGAGCAGAAATTTTATCCGTGGCAGTCATGTGTACTTCCCCCAACTATGCTATAGTACTTTGCGATTTTTCCTATCAAATTGTTCTTCAAATTATAATTACCTGTCATTCATGCTTTAAACCAGAGATGCTTAAACTTTAATGTGCTTTAGAATCAACTAGAAGCCTTGTGGAAACTCAAGTTGTTGGACCCACCCATAGCTTACTCTGATTTAGTAGGTCTGGGCTAGGTCTGCATTTCTGGCAAGCGCCCAGGTAATGCTAATGCTACTGGTCTGGACCACAGTTGGACGCCTTCTGCTTTCAGAAAATGAGCTGAGGGGTGGTGTGCCCCAGCAAGGTGGGTAGGAGCCGAGTCACACGAGCCTTATTAAGGACATAGGACAGGCTCTACTTTATCCCTAGGTCAGTAGGGACCCGTGGAAGAGCTTTCAGTAAGGAAGTGATGATTGAACAGAATTGTAGTTTACGACGTGCTTTTGGTTTTTGGCTGCTTTGTGGAGAGTGGCTTGAAGAAGGATGAGGTGAAGATTGGAGGCAAAGAGAGAGGTCAGCAGATGTTAGGGATTCGGAGGTGAGAAGTCTTAGCCCCTGCAGTGATGAGGGCACTGTGTGCAGAAGGGACCTGCAAGCGTGACAAGGGAAAGAACTGGTGGCTCTACAGTCGTCTGCTGATTTCTCTTCTGGCCACCGTTAGCATGGGCAAATCTCCACATTCTATTCCTGACTCCCCCTTTCCTCTCTCTGCTTGCTTCCTGGGCTGCATTGCTCCAAGAGTTCCAGCCTAACACCTCCAAGCAGATAGCTATGAAATGCAATTATGAGTGTTTGTGTATCTCTTTGCAATTGTTTATGGTAAATTCTGAGAAATAAGGAATGAATATTACAAAAGTATTTTTCAAGTGATTTTACAGTAATCACTTGAAATTGATTACTGTAGTAATTGATTATTATAGTAATTGTAGCTATTTTAAAGTAATAACTACAGTTCTTTTTTCTCTGGATTTTTGAGGATACATATAAACTTTATATTCTTAAATATTATTATTAAATATTACTATTTATGATTAACTTGTATCATTAAATTTTATTAAACCTCATTTGATATAAAATAATATTTATTACTATTATTATTATTATTTTATTTATTTTTTTCAGGCGAAGTTTCACTCTTTTTGCCCAGACTGGAGTGCAATGGCGAGATCTCAGCTCACTGCAACCTCCGCCTCCTGGGTTCAAGTGATTCTCCTGCCTCAGCCTTCTGAGTAGCTGGGATTACAGGCATGTGCCACCACGCCCGGCTAATTTTGTATTTTTAGTAGAGATGGGGTTTCTTCATGTTGGTCAGGTTGGTCTTGAATTCCTGACTTCAAGTGATCCGCCCGCCTCAGCCTCCCAAAGTGCTGGGATTACAGGCGTGAGTCACCACGCCCAGCTTATTATTTCGTTTTATTTTTTTGAGACAGAGCTCCCTCTGTTGCCCAGGCTGGAGTCCAGTGATGTGATCTTGGCTCACTGCAACCTCTGCCTCCCGAGTTCAAATGATTCTCTTGCCTCAGCCTCTGGAATAGCTGGGATTACAGGCATGTGCTACCACGCCTGGCTAATTTTTGTATTTTTAGTAGAGATGGGGTTTCACCATGTTGGCCAGACTGGTCTCAAACTCCTGACCTCAGGTGATCCACCTGCCTCAACCTCCCAAATTGCTGGGATTACAGGTATGAGCCATCGTGCCAGGCCAAAAATATGTTATATCTATACAAAAGCTAAAGAATAACCCAATGAAAACCTGTTTACCCACTATCTAGATTAAAAAAAAAGAAAACAGGCTGGGCATGGTGGCTCATGCCTATAATCCCAGCCTTTGGGAGGCCGAAGCAGGCAGATCACCTGAGGTTCGGAGATCGAGACCAGCCTGACCAAAGTGGAGAAACCCCGTCTCTACTAAAAATACAAAATTAGCCAGGCATGGTGGCGCATGCCTTTAATCCCGGCTACTCAGGAGGCTGAGACAAGATTATCCCTTGAACCTAGGTTGTGGTGAGCCGAGATTGTGCCATTGCACTGCAGCCTGGGCAACAGGAGCGAAACTCCATCTCAAAATAAAAAAAACAAAAAAACAAAACCATACACAAAAAAACCCCCCCAAAAATTATCAGTGCTGTTTGTATCACTCTTCCTTGATTAAATCCTCCTTTCCAGTGTCCCTGAAGAATACCATTGTGAGTTTTAAATTGATCGCTGCCTTGCTCTTTTCTAGGGATATTTACGAATACACGAACACTGTGAGCAGTATCTTGTTGAACTGCTCTTGTTTTTGAACTTTGTAATTGCCCCCGTCCTCCCTGTATTTTTCCGGAAGTTGCCTTCTCCCCGCCAGCATGATGTTTGTGAGCCTGGCCCATGTTGCTGCCTATAGC